AACCTAGCTAGCAGCAGGAGAAAACCTAGTTAACAGCAGGAGAAAACCTAGCTAGCAGCAGGAGGAAAACCTAGCTAACAGCAGGAGAAAACCTAGCTAGCAGCAGGAGGAAAACCTAGTTAACAGCAGGAGAAAACCTAGCTAGCAGCAGGAGGAAAACCTAGCTAACAGCAGGAGGAAACCTAGCTAGCAGCAGGAGGAAAACCTAGCTAACAGCAGGAGGAAACCTAGCTAACAGCAGGAAAAAACCTAGTTAACAGCAGGAGGAAAACTAGAAAACTAGCTAACAGCAGGAGAAAACCTAGCCATTGTAGCCAAAGGCAGGAGAAAACATAGTTAAAAGTAGGAACACACTTAGCTAAAAGCCAAAAAAGTGAAAAAAACTGTCATTTTTTCCCCTTGTTGAAAGAATTTTGGTTCTAGTGAGACGATAATACCTCCTGAAATGTTCTTATGTTAAACAAAATTACTAAATATTGGAAAGTATCTTGTCCTGTTGAACATTTACACAGAGATAACTGCAGCCACTAAATCTGTTATTACCATAATCTGTGAATTCAGTGAGATATACAATTATTATTTTTATTTTTTTATGAAAATTAATTTATAATTTACTCTATTCTGACATTCTGCTGCCATCATATGAAAATGACTCTTTGATACCAAATGCTACATCTCATCTGTATGTTATAATTAGTTTGCATTGTTAGTTTCAGTGTTGAACTGAGTTGTTGGTTTTGTTAAGCTTGGATTGTTTAGCATCTGTAACACAGCATGAAGGAGTTAGATTTGTCTTTGTATAATGATTCTAACGATTTTTCGACAGCTGTTGTCTCTCACTCTATTTGCGCTACATGTCCAAAAGAAGAAATTCCTTAAAAATAATTTTTAAGAACCTGTTATATCTTGGTCTGTTGGCTAGATGTTTACATCTCCTGAAGCCCACTTGTGGTTAACATACTAAACTTATCGTTCATCTTAATGTGACAGCAGTTTGCCACCTCTCTATTTGTTCTTCTTCATCTGAACTCTTGGTGACTTCAGTTGACAGCAGGCCAGCTTGGCTGCAAGGCTTATCTCACTCAGCCTGTTAGCATTTCATTAGCACGTGCCCCGGTCTGTCCTCTGCCCGGACGCTGGCAGGACACGATGCTCGCTGCGCCTGTGCCAAGTAGGTGTGTTATTACTGAATAGAGATCCTTAATGGGGGACCAGGCTTCAGTTTTCTAAATAATTTGAAGCTAAAATTGCAAAGATAGTCCTAAAAAGGCTACAAGTGGAGTTTAAACATGTTTGCAACAAATATGCAAATAATTTAGATAAAAGGTTTCATCTTTTATATTGTTTTTTTGTTCAATTCTCCTTATTGTAATACAGTTTGTGGTGTTTTTCAGGTGCAATCCGCAGCAGTATTTCTCATTTTTACATGTTGGATCATTGCAGTCACTAGAATAAAAAGCGCTGGAAAAACAAAACTTATAAAATATTAACTTATAACGTGTTCAGTCCATTGGATAAACCTTACTCTCTTTATGTTTTCAGTCCAACAGGCAGCCTGTCAAACTCAACCTGCTCACCTGCCAGGTGAAGCCGAGCTCTGAGGACAGGAAATGCTTCGATCTAATTTCTCGTAAGTTTTTTTTAAAAATCTTAAATTCTTCTGCTTACCTGAACCGGTTAGAAATGTGCATACAGAAAGGAGAAAAGTAATTTTTACTTTAAATTCTGGATAAATATTAGTTTAAAAAATTGAACTGACATTGCTTTTTCAAGAAAGAAATATGTGATTTATTGTTTTCATTGTGAAATAAATTTCTTCAAGTTTCAGTGCTTTTTGAAATGATAAATATTTAACCATAAAGTAATAAAAAAAACTAAAGTCTTCCTTTGTTACACAGTATCTCAGGGTTAATAGATACTTATGTTTATTATTAACCCAGATATTATTAGTTTTTGGATTCAAATTATAGTTTGACACAAGCTGTATGCTTTTGAATTGTAAATTTAAACTTTTTCATTGATAGACAATAAAACAAACATCAGCTGTTCAAGAACATTATTTATTATCTCTGTTTTGTTGAAAAATTCCTTAGGGAGGAGAATGAATGTGTGCAAAACATTTTCTCTCTGATTCATGTGACATTTCTGAACAGTTTAACTTGTGGATGCTGCCCGTTGTGTTGCAAAATGCAAAACATTGGATTTGCATGCTTGACATCCTGGTCTGTGGTCTCTGCAGATAACCGGACTTATCACTTCCAAGCTGAAGACGAACAAGAGTTTGTCATGTAAGTATTAAAAAAATAAAAAATAATAATCCCATCTGGTAATCTGGGCCAACTTCTCATATAGTTTCAATTGAAAAAACTGGTAAAATCCAGAGTTTTTCTTACACAGGAACCATTTTATTTGTTAAATAAAACTATTACAAGGATCTCAACCACATTTTCAGTGCTAAATTTTACTGTCGATTACTACAGCAGTCTCAAATAGCGCCGAATAGATGGCAAATGCAAATAAGACGCAGTCGCAGGCACACCACATGCGACCAATCAACGGCGGTTTTAGTTTCATTAGATAAACCAGATAAAATGCTCAACAGTTTTGTTACATTGTAAGTTAGAAATATGGTGAAGGCAGAACCGTTTAAGAAGATATAGTAAAAGAAGAGGCGGTTGTTTTAGTAAATAGTAAAAGTTCTGATGCATCTGGAAACAGTTTTCATGCATAATGAGGATGTTATCAATAGCTCTGCCAGATTCTTGATGGTTTAAAACCGCCGACTGACTTTAAAACACCTTGACAGCAGCAGCTGGTGCTGCTTTCGTTTCCACATTAAGGCATTTTATAAACAGTGAAGGTCTTCACACATGAATATCTTTATCTCTCCTGAGTATTTGTAAGTGTAATAATGCTGTTTCATAAATATTATCTTCAATTTTACTTTGCTACTTTAATCCGTTGTGATTTTAAAGCAATTTTTTTACAGAATATTTTAATATTCGCCATTCTGCTTCTTGAAGAAGCTAATTATAGCCGGCTTATCTTCACAGGAAATCATACTACAGTCAGCAGCTATAAAAAAAAAACTGCTAACATAAATAAACCGCCATGTGAGACAAAGGTATAGGAATCTCCTGTCAATTTGCTGACTGAAAGTGTTCAGAAACAGATGGGGGAGGGGCAGCACTGTGGCACGGTATGCTCCTTTCATTCCAGCACTTTCTGTTGAATCTCATTAAAATAACTTTAGATCTCTTAACAGTTTTGAAACTTTTTACCCATGTGACACTTTTGCCTTACATGTCGACATCATCAGACGGCATGTTGGGTAAATAAAGCTCCAGTTCTCCACGTTTGATTCTGTATCACCAGCTTAGTCAACCTGTCGTATCTTATTCTGGATCAGTTGATCCTTTAATATGTGACAAACAAAAACAACACTAAAACTATTTGATTGTGACTTTATTTCACAGCTGAATATCACACTCTTGATCCCTATAGACATGCACTATTCAATCCATACAAAGCATGAAAGATGTGAGAGCAGCTGATGCTCCTCAAACTAGAGTGGATTTCCGGATAACGCCTTTTACATTTAGCAAATGGAAGTTTGGTAACACTTTATTTGAAGGGGTCTGCATAAGGCTGACATGAAACTTTCATCAACATGATTTAACACCTGTTATAAAGGAGTATTGTCAACTGTTGTTGACACTTTTAATGGACTTTATATATAAGTTTTAATGCAAATTTACTTTAAGTGTCATTATTTACCAAACAGTGCAAAGTTGACACTTTTAACGCAACTTTTAAGGCAACTTTGCACTAAAAGTGTCATTATTTACTGAATGACAACAGTCATAAACATTCATGAAGAGTCATTTATGTTCATATGAAGTATTAAGTCATGTTTATGCTCAACATTTCAAATTTTTACTTAAGTCAGAAGAGTTGGCTGAAAACCCATTATCATCTATTCTAACTTTTATAACTGAATGCCTCTAGTTTGTTTTGTTTTTACTAACACTGAGTCAGCAGTTGTAGAGTATGCACACTATTTGAAGGAGTGTGCATAAGACTGACCTGACGCTATCATGAACATTTAATGAATGTTTACAGTTGTTGTCATGAAGTGTCTTTTGGTAAATAATAACCCTATTACTGCAAAGTTGCATTAAAAGTCCATTAATAGTGTCAACTTTGCATTAAAAGTGTCATTATTTACCGAATGACACGTCATGACAGCAGTTATAAACATTCAAGCAGACTCCTTCATGTTGATAACAGATGTTATCTCAGTCTTATGCACATCCCTGTAAGTAAAGTGCTACCCGTTTATCTTCTGGGATACTCGTTTCTTTTTTTCTGATCACGTGAAACTGTGTTCATCCTTTTCGATGCATATGCTCTCCGCTGTTTCCCGTCATGAACTCCAAATGAAGCGCCTGCATGTTACTGGGACAGAAATGTCCACTGTCCCACTGCTTGTGCACCCACCCAATGCCTCAGCTGGATTAGAAGCACATTAAACTTCACATTTTGATTCAGCTGCTCCTTAAAATGGCCCCATTTCTTCACACATCTACATGTAATCTAACAGATCCTTTTGCGCCCATTCTGTGGGGGCTCCTCACAGCTTTAGAGGCGTAACAAATGGAGTCCAAATGTCAGTCTCATTAAGCTCTGTGTGTATACATGTGCGGTGAGCGATGAAGGGTTAGCGCTGTGCACAGGGCATGTTTGAAAGGGAGCTACAGTGCTTCCTGTCTGAGTGATGGGTAGTGACCACAGTTTTGCGTGGGTGTTTCTTTTTGAGTCAGTTGACCTTGTTCTCAGGGAAAAATAAACCTGCAAGCAGAAATAGACTGGAGGCAAGAAAATCATATTCAGAAATTAAGAGTTAAAAAGCTTTGCTCTTCTTAAAATGTTAGTTTTTCTCCCATTTTCTTTACGTTGTCTAAACAAAGGGAGTTTAGAGTAGGTTATGAAAGTGTATTTCATTTGTTTGCAGTGAGACTTTCATCTTAGTTTATAGGTGTCTTGATGGGTTAGAAATACAGTTTATTGTCCCACAGCAGGGAAATTCATAACATAAGAAAATAAATGCATACTCTGACTAAATTAGCCTGAGTAGGTTAATTTAGAAAGGAAAATGCTCAAGATTTGCATTAAAAAAGCAAGAAGAAGTGAGAAACTGTCCAAATAATAGCCGCAGAGTTGCAAAAACTCATTGCGTTTGTTGGGATGGTTTTAAAGTCTTAGAGCTGATCGGAGGAAGGATCTGTGATCATGCTTCTTTTTGCACCCAGGATGTAACAGCCTGTCTCTAAATGAGCTTTTTCAAAGATTGTGCTTTCACTTCTTTTCTGTTCTGCTGATGACCGTTTCTTTAAAATAAACTACTCAGATTTATCATGAAATCAAGCATGAAAATGCTCCTAAAGGATCAGTTCAGTTTGTTCCAGACTTGATCATTACAATGACATTTCTGCCTACTTTTACTTCGTGCCAACACGTCTCACTTTTGCACATCAGTTTATTTCTCTTACTAGTGAAATATTTCGATGAATAAAAATAAAATTTTCTAAAGACTTAATGTTGCAGTTTTTGCATATGAAATATAAACTGTAAAACTGTCAATTACCTGCTGATAGATATGTATTGCCATTACCATTACATTCCTTGAAAATGGTCTCAAAACATAAATATTATTATTTATTGGAAAATGTGTCAAGTGCAGATCTGAGTATCTGGCTGAATAGAAGCCATGAAGGACTGTTTTTATATAAACATGCAATGTTTATCAGATGATGGCAAAATAAAAAATGATGCAAGTTGTTTCTGTTTATGTTCTAAATTTTACTCTTCAGGACAATAATTCTGTCCCGTCTTGCAGATGGATCTCCGTGCTAACCAACAGCAAGGAGGAGGCTCTGAACATGGCTTTCCGAGGAGAGCAGAGCAGCGGCGGGGAGGACGGATTAGAGGACTTGACTAAAGCCATCATAGAAGACGTGCTGCGCATGCCAGGCAACGAGATCTGCTGCGACTGCGGAGCTGCAGGTCTGTGCTGCTGCCGCTGTCCACAGACACACAGACGGTGCTGAGTCGAGCCTCACCTTGTCCTGAGAAGAGGAACCAGCTTCCTCCTCTGAGCTGTTAGCTGGAAATGTTTTATTTAGACCCACAAGGCACTTTTGCTGCGTCACAGTTCGCTCTGTCTGACTGCAGTCCTGAACAAAGAACCTAAATGTTATACTCAAGTAACAGTAGCACTACTTCAATATATTAAGAAGTAAGAGTGAAAATGTATTTGGTAAAAAGTCTACTCTAGTCTTCTGTAACTGATGAAATTATCAGTCATTTAATATTTAAAAATTACATTATAAGATGGACCAAAATATAAAGTTAAGTAGAATTTTTTTGTATTTTCAGGACAAACATGACAATAATTCATATAAGTAACAAAAAATAACAAAATCAGGCAAAAGAAAAATTTCCTAAATCAGTTTCTTTTATTAAAAACTTTAACAAAAACTGTAGGTGTGAAGTTTTGGTTAAACTATATTTGTTTTTCATTCAGTGGGTAGAAAATCCGGAAATTTTACTCAAGTAAAAGTAAAAAAGTATGTGTAGCTGATCAAATTATCAATCATTTAATGTTTGAAAATTACATTATAGATGGACCAAAATATAAAGTTAAGTGGACATTTTGGTTTTTTAAGGAACAAAATGCCAAAAGTAACAAAATTGGATTTTTAAAAATTTCCCCAAATCAGTTTTTTCAATAAAAAAACTTATAAAACTTTAACAAAAAGTGTGTCTGTGTCTGGTGAATTTTTGGTTAAAACATGTTTGTTTTTCATTCAGTGGGTAAAAAATCCAAAATATTACTCAAGTAAGATTACAGATACTTCATAATAAAATTACTCAAATAAAAGCAAAAAGTAATTTAAAAAATAGAAGTTACTCAAGTAAATGTAATTGAGTAAATTAATAAACCAGAATATGAATGCTAAAGCTGTTAGCATGAAGCGTTTGCTCTCTGGAGGCCTGCAGAATTTCATGTTTCTGACAGTGAACACACACATCGCATGTTTGCATACACAGATCCACACACACCATCAGCAGCTTTCTGACTGACCGAAGGCAGGATTTTAAGCTCTGAAGGAGAAAAAAGCAACATTTCAAGGCTCGAGAAACAACAACATTACATCACTTTGTTACATAAGTCACACACGCGACGCCGACCCCTGCAATTTGAGGGGAGGGGAGGCAATTTGTCGCGTCTGTGCTCTTGTTGCTGCATCCATCGATACGCCCAGATTTGATTGTAAATGTGTTGCAGATGTCTCGTTTTCTTAATGAGATTCAGCCGCTAGTGTTGCTTTTCTCCTCTTAGCATCGCGCTACCTTGGGTAAAGAAGAAAGAGGTTGTCATTGAAGCTGAGATCCTGCTCTTCTTCCTGTGTGTGATTTGCAGCGTCATAGGTCACCCTGCAGTTATTCACTCATCGTGCTCAACATGCTCTCTGTGGCTAGCATCTGGTCGTCGTGTTTATCTGGTCGACTCGTTTCTTTTAGAGCTTTTTCTGCTGTTTTCACTGAATCACAGAGTTGGGAGATGATTGAGTTATAGCTGGCTAACATAGTGATGCTTACCTCGGTTAGTGCTTCACTGATGTTTGAGCTGTTCTTTTTAATTTGTGAGACCAGATGTTTCTGGTGGAGGGTTTAAATGTTGCTTGGTTACCAGTTGAACAAACATCTGGTGGCGGCAGAGATCAATGAAACTTCATCTGTTTCTAAAACAGGTTTTTATCTGTTATGACAAAATGAACAGCTAGAATAAATGAGGTTCATCCGTCCGTCCATCCATATAATTTTTAAATGTTTGACTGTGGAAGTATTTGTTGTTTTTTCATAGTTTTTCATCCCTTTAGAAACTGGCCAAAGGGGAATAAGAAAAACGCCTCTTCTTCTTCTTTTTTGACATGATTGGCAATCACGTTTCCTGGTGATCATGTTAGATGTCTGTTTGCTGTGTTAGCATCCAGATTTAGAAACCACTCCTCTGTTGAATTGTTGCGCAACATAAATATCGTAAGAGGAGAAGTGTGTGTATTAATCAAGCTGTCAAATCAACTCCTGCTGTTATTTTAGTCAGACACTGAAGGCCTCAGTTTGGAGTTGTTGTGTGTTAGGTTTGGATTTCTCACCATTTTCTGGCAACTCGTTTCATATTCTGCAGTGAATTGTTGTCGCTGCTCAGGCTGACGGACGAATCGATCTCTGGTCATTGCAGAGCCGAAGTGGCTGTCCACCAACCTGGGGATCCTGACCTGCATCGAATGCTCTGGGATCCACCGTGAGATGGGCGTCCACATCTCCCGCATCCAGTCCATGGAGCTGGACAAGCTGGGGACCTCAGAGCTGTTGGTGAGCCTCAGTAATCATTGATTATTGATTTATGTTCATCTATGGCCATGCTTCTTTTTACTAATATAAGACATGAATCCATCCGTCCATCCGTCCGTTCATCCGTCCGTCCGTCCGTCCGTCCGTCCGTCCGTCCGTCCGTCCGTCCGTCCGTCCGTCCGTCCGTCCGTCCATAGTAATTACAGCTTGTGAATTGTAATAACCTGATCTGACTGCATGTTTCTGTCTTTCTCTCAGTTGGCCAAGAATGTAGGAAACAGTAGTTTCAATGAAATCATGGAGGCCAACCTCTCCTCCCCTTCTCCGAAACCAAACCCCTCAAGCGACATGTAAGTACTTCCTCCATCCGGGCGTCTCCTTCACAGAAAACCTTCTTGAGAAACTCGACTTTGTCCTCAGGACGGTGAGGAAGGAGTTCATCAACGCCAAGTACGTGGACCACAAGTATGCGAGGAAGACGTGCACGTCGGCGGCGGCCAAGATGATCGAGTTGTTTGAGGCCATCCAGACCCGGGACCTGCTGGCTCTCATCCAGGTCTACGCCGAGGGGGTGGAGCTGATGGAGCCGCTGCCGGAGGCGGGACCGGTGAGTGGGACCGCTGCGTCACCGCTGAGCGTGTCCGGAGAGTCCTGTTGGTACATGAAGGCAAATGTTTCTGCACAACTATGTTTTTATTTTTTGTTCCATTTTGCTTTCTTAAATCCTAGATCAAGCTGAAAGGCGTGTTCTGGAAATAAACATTTAATTTAAAATGACGATTAACTTCTATTTTCCTTCTGTAGAGAAATGTTAGTTTAAGCCAGCTGATCCAGGCATATGAATTATTCAATCATTAAAAGTTAAAGTAGACTCAAGTGTTGTATTTAACTAGGTTCATCCAAAAATACCAAAGAAAGCATCTTAAGCATGCAGAGATTATGTATTATAGAACCAAAATAGGCTTCTTGTAAATCATAGAAATGCACAGAAATATGTAATATATTCACTTAAAACTCCCAGCAGTCCACAGATCTCAGAGGGTTTCATCATTAAGCGACTTGAAAAACCCAACAATAAGATATTTCTACCAACTCCAGGAAAAAAATGGGCGTAAGCAACTGGAAAAAGTCTGAGTCATCTGACAGACTTTACCACAGCAGGTGCTGCTAGCCAGCAAACCGCTGCCACTTAGATCTCCAACATCTGTGCCGATTCCTTATTCCCTTAAATTGCTACACATGTGCTCTTGTGTCTGTTCTTTTCTTCTTTTATTTATTTTGCCGCACTGCCCGTTTGCTGCAGTTTGCTCTCCGTTTGCTCTCCGTTTGCGGTGCCTCTTCAGGCGTTTAATGAAAGTTAAATAACGGGCGATGGAGACGGCACGCTTGATCAGATTTAATCCGACGTAAATGGGTCAGGGTTTTACAACGCCAACACGGTAGTTCCTCTGATTAAAAAATTAGGTGTGCGACGGTGCAGCAGAGTAACAAGGATGAGAGAGGATGTGATTTGGTGACGAAGGGAGTTGCTGCTGCTGCTGCTGCTGTCGTCTGCACTGTGAAGTCTGAGTCACCACTATCTGATCTGCTGCTGTCAGTAACTCCGATTGCTGCAAAGTGACATCCAAACCCGGGCTTTACACGACATAAAAAGGCTAGTCCATCCTTTGACCTTTTCAAAGGTGGATGCAGTAATTATTTCCTCATATTTCCATCCCTGTTTGTGAATTTAAAACCTTTTTAGAGGCAAACTTTTGCAAAAACTCAGCTTTAACAATGCAGAATTGCTATTTTTAGGAGCCATTTTGTTTACTGCAGTTTGTTTAAATCCTCAAACAACCTCTCTTGCACACACACACACACACACACACACACACACACACACACACACACACACACACCAGAATACAGAATGGACGTTGCCTCAGTGTGGCTCTGTTGTGTTTGATGGCCCCCTGCAGGAAGTTGGAGAGACAGCTCTTCACTACGCCGTCCGCACTGCCGACCAGACCTCACTGCATCTGGTGGACTTCCTTGTGCAGAACAGGTAGCGAAAAATTAATCCACACATGTGTATTAACTCTATATCTGCAAGAGAAGGAAAACTTGTCTGCAGAAACAAATTGTATTAGTCTCTTTTTATATATATATATATATAAAGCTGAAGAGCAGAGGTAGGCTTAGTGCTGCTCTGCTCAGATTCCCACAAGGCAAAAAGAAATGGGTCAAGCTCTTGCTCTCTGCTTTAATTTATTCCCTTTTTCCAATTGCTCATCCACCACAGACTTAAAGCTTTAAATAATAACCTCTCTTATTGAATGTAATTTCTTAAAATGTTGCATAATTACATGTCAGACGGACACAAAAAGTGAGGAATCAGAGTGTTTTTTCCTGCAGTGGTAACCTGGATAAGCAGACCGAGTGGGGGAACACCGCCCTGCATTACTGCTGCATCTACGAAAAGCCCGAGTGCCTCAAGTTGCTCCTGAGAGGCAAGCCGGCCACCGACATCGGTGAGTCACACTCATCCTCTGCCGTCTCTGCGTGCGCATCAGCCTCAAAGTGTTAATCATTTTTTTCTTCTTCTTTTTTTTTTTTGCGTCTTTCCCCTTCCTCAGCCAATCAGAACGGAGAGACGGCCCTGGATGTTGCCAGGCAACTGAGGAACACTCAGTGCGAGGAGGCAGTAAGTGCAGCTGGAAACGATGGACGTCGGAGGAGAAAATACAAAAATAAACCCTCCGGTTAAAGCCATGAAAACACACTAAAAACAAAAACATCAGTTTGGTTAAGTTAGAGATTTTTGGAGCTTAAAACAAACCAGATAGGATTGATGCTGAGGAGAAATGGAGGTGTTTAGACAGAACACTAGATGGCAGTGTTGAGTCTGTGTTGAGCCTCAGGCAACTGGGACAACAGAGTGGAAGAAATTGTTAATGTGCTTGTAATTAATGCAAATATGAGCAGACTGCTTTGTACCCACTGTATGTAGAATTTAAAATACATTTTACATTTATTTTTTTAGACATACAAAAGTATTCATACACCCTTATTTTGCCTAGTTTCAGCAAACTTCAATGTATTTTGTATTTTACCAACACAAAATAGTGCTTGATTTTGAATTGGACAAAAAATAAATAAATTTTACAACACGAAACACTAATCAACATTCTGAAGTGTAAAGACGGCACTTTTTGTTGATATTTGTGTTTTTATGAAGATCTTTGAACTGCCTTGCTGCTGAAATATGCGACTCATATAAACTTGATTGGTTGATTTATTCACAAATATACAGCTGAAAAGTGTGGCATGCATTTGTATTGAGCCCCTTTTATTTTAACATCACTAGTATTAGTTCTGCAACTGAAGATACCTTCATCATAAAATATGGTGATGAAAGTATCATGCTGTGGCTTTACTTTAACATTTTCAGTATGCAGATTAACACATGGTAAAAGATTTGCAGCTACAATTGCAGAAACAGGAATCTCTGGAGCTGGATACATGTTTTTAGTTACAGAATTAAATGTTTAGAACTGTTTTTGTTTGTTTCCACTTGTTGCAACCCAGCTCATCAAGCTCTAACTGGTTCTAAAGGAAAGTGGTTTAATCGTTTGCTTTTGCCAGACAAAAATATAAGCAAACAATAAGACCAAGACCCTTGAAGTCTTCTCAATTATGCTGTACTTTGTGTTGGTTTTTCACAAAATGCCACTAAATTCAGTAAATATAAAGAAGTTAAATATGTGTTAATACTTTTGCAGATCTAACTCATGATATTCCTGTTGGCCTGAGCCTTTTATGTCTTTATTCACAGAAGACACGAAAGGTAGGGCTTTTCATGAAGCATAATTTTAGATGTTGATTTGAGTGTTTTTGTGCTTCTTTTCTCTGATTCAGCTCGTTCAGGCTGCAGAGGGGAAGTTCAATCCTCACATCCATGTGGAGTACGAGTGGAGCCTCAGACTGGAGGAGATGGACGAGAGCGACGACGACCTGGACGACAAGGTGATGAAGATACGGTGTTCATGTCTCCACATCTCCTGGTTTTAAGAAACTAAATTTAAAAATGGAAGCATAAAAATCAAGGCCAGACCTTTCTGCCTTAATTTAGATTAACTAATTAAATTGATTTTAATGCATTATAAATCTTCATGCAATTATTTGCGTTTTTCTTTTGTACATATAAGAAGTATGAAGTGTTTTGGTTCTCGTGGTATTGTATTATTTCAGGTGGTGCGCTCCACATTTTTGCTCACTTGGACTTTCTGCTCCCATCCTCATGTACGACCTTAACAAAGTTGTTAAGGTTGTAAAGTTGTAATTAATGAATGTGATGGAAGTCTATATTTCTAAATACAAAAAGAAATAAAAAAAAAAAGGTCCTGAGCAGGAACTTTGTGTTGTGTTTTTGGTACGGCCATAATCTGACGCACAAGCGGTATCCACAAACAACAGCGATGGACAAAGAAGCTGCGTTTCTTTAAGAGAGTTAAGTTTTGTTTCAAAAAATGATCTGATGTGGCGTTAGAAAGGGTATTGTTGTGTCAATATACAATGTTGAAACTCTTAATTTAATGCTGTCAATCGATTAAAACATTTAATCAGATTAATCAAACTGCCTAAGTTTATAAGCACTAGATATAAATATGAACACAGTTGTGGTTCTTGCAGGAATGGTGTTCTGGACAAGCCACACTCCAACCAATTAAAATGCCAGAAATGATCTGTTTTCTTTTTTAAGCAGAAAGTAGTTAATATAATCTCCCAGAATTCAACAGCAGCTTAGGGAAACTTACTCCTCTGCATACAAGTAGCAGTCAACTTGTTCAGGGGACAACTGACAGAGAAGATATATTTTATTTTCTAGTTCTTAATGCCTCAGTTTTCCAGGTTTTTATGTTCAGGAAGTCATTTTGAGACTGATTGGTGTCTTTGTCCTCGTTCCTCTCCAGCCCAGTCCCATCAAGAAGGACCGCTCTCCCAGGCCGCAGAGCTTCTGCCACTCCTCCAGCCTGTCGCCCCACGACAAGCTCTCCCTGCCAGGCTTCATCAGCCAGAGGGACAAGCAGCAGCGGCTCTCCTACAGCGCCTTCACCAACCAGATGTACAGCGCCTCCACCGACCTCAGCTCCTCCCCCGTGGCCGACGGGCCGCCGCTGCCGCCCAGGAACCAGGGCAAAGGTCAGACATGCCTGCTCCGAGAGCGTCCGCTGTTATTCCAGCCGGGTTTCAGAGTTTATCTGCTTTTTGAAATTCAAATTCAGGATCCTGCAGATATCGATGCAAATGTGAGCTTCTAATCCAAGGAGGCATAGAAGGCTGTGCACTGAAAAAACTCAAAATCTTACCAAGTGTTTTTGGTCAAGTTTATAGTCCAAATGTCTTAGAACGATTGAAATAAGACAAAACCGACAAGTAACTTTTTAGCAAGATACAGGAGCTTGTTTTAAGAAATAGTTCCTTAATATTGATGAAAAAGTTCTAGTTTTGCTTGTGAAATAATCGAGGGAGTGAAACAAGAACTTTTTTCATAAATATTAAGGAATTATTGACTAAAAACAAGCTACTATATCCTATAAATTTACTTGCAAGTTACTTTTGTCTCATTTAAATTCTACTAAAGCATTTACACTAGTAACTTCACCAAAAATATAGACTTTGTGTTTTTGCAGTGTGTGTTATTACTGTAGAGAGAATCTGTACATATATGGATTCATTATCAGGAGAGAATTAGCAGCAGGTTAGTGGGAAGTTTCCACTTTGCTCAGTCTCCACATACACACACACACACACACACACACCCAGCAGTGGTATGCAGTTTGTCAACACACAGATCAGAGGGCGGAAATCAGGTGTCATTAGGATTACTTATAAAGTAAACTTGGAGGAAAACGCAGCCTCAGGAGAAGGCAGGTGATGATTGTGTTAAAGAAGGAACGCTAGAAACACACCTTGTCCAATTATGGTTTTTGTGCTGTCTCTGCAGTATTGCAATTAAAAATAACACTCTTCCCTCTGTCACAACATCATCAGTGTCAAAAACATCACAAAATGCTGCATAAGCCGTTTAATCTGTTATTCCAGTGTCAGCTGCAGAGCAAAACAGACCTTTAAGCGTTAAGCTGCAGTTAATACAGTTGTATTAAAGACTTTCATTATAGTTCTTCTGTTTCTTTTTGAAGAGTTTTCTTTTTCACACCAGTTTTTTTTCTTTTATTTACAGCAACACTTTCTGTTTATTTTCGCTGACTCCTACTTATGTCAGCCAATATCTCATTTCATAGTGTTTTTTTTTATTCACTCATCTGGTTTTAACTGTATATTACAATTAGCACAATTAGCGCAGTTAGCATTACTACCTTTGCTTTACTCTGTGTGGCCTTTCTGTTATCTTCTCTCTCAACTTCATTTAAAACTTCCCGCATGTACTAACATTGTGTATTTTTCACTCGGTAACAACTTCCACAGTAAAGAGTTTAGCTGTTAGCTTGAGCCAGTAGCATTAGCATGTGGTTTGTTCACTAATCAGGAAGTATTATTGAGTTTCAGACCATGAAGTCACTGATGAGGACTAATAAGGCTGAAAGATTTTGAGCTGATTTCTTTTTGCATCTGTAGCCATTGTCGACTGGATAAATGTCTGAGTTATTAAGTTGAATCTAAACCAAATAGAACCTCAGTTATTTCCAATAATGGAAAAAATGTTAACTTTTTAGCTTTCAGAAAAATGTCAGGGTGAGACTTTATGATCTGATGCTTAGGCTAAGTTGGAAGATGGAAAAGAACAAGTATATCTGTGAAGTCATAAAGAATACTAGTGTTTGTAATTGTTAAAATCAGCAATGTAATCTCAAAATAAGAATAAATTTTTTCTTGTGTTCCCAAAACATCTGGAGTTGAACTCAGCTCAGCCTGTTGAAGTGTGAATTTGTTCAGATCTAATAAAGAGCTGAACTGTGTTGCTTATGTTGGCCTGAAATCTAATCAGGGTGTTGGCCGTCTCACGGTGGACGTCCCAGCCTTCAACTGACCTCTTTGTCATGTAAACTGGTCTCTAACTGAAGACACTTCTGTCCATTTATTTACAACTCTATGCCTGTTTCTGCTGTTTACTGGGAAAGGAAATGAACTCTGTTGATTTGTAGGCTTGAAAAAGATACCCACACCAATTGAACTTTTCCACATTTTGTCACAAACTTCACTTTTTTATGATTTTTTTTTATTATTGTTATAATTTACCACTACCAACCTATGAGTAGGCTATAATTGTGAATATGACTTTTTAAAGATTGTCAGAGATTTTCATTCAGCCCCTTGAGTCTTTTCTGTAGAAGCATATTTAAAGGCTTTTGCCCATTCTAGCTCAAACTCAGACAGATTGTCACAAAATTTTAATTGGATTTTATTCTGGAATTTGACTAGGCCAAACCACCCCATTGAATCTCAGTCTGTAGAGAAATCTGTTTGGATGTGAAGTCAGAGCTAAAAGTGGTCTGATTGTGATTTAAACTTTATTCATAATTTTACAAGCATGATTTTCGGCCACTGTTTATGTCCTGATTTACCCCGTCTGGCTTCTTCTGGTGCATAATTATGGCACATGACTCATCACTGACATAAATGTTGAGTTTATGTCAGACTGCTGACGCTTTGAAAACAATTGGATGCGCACCTTTGTGGCACAGATTGGATTTTTTTTGGCGTGGTGAAAATATCAGAGTTGAACCGTTGAGATTGCTGTGAAAAAGTTGGATTTGGTGGGTTTCCTACCCAAACTGTGGATTTCTGCAGCTCCTCCAAAGTCTGTTTAGAAGTTCCTTTGTTATATAATATTCCAAAGATATGAGTTAAAGTTTGTGGTTGACAATATGTGGAAAAGTTTGCGTAACAGCTCAAAGGTTCAGTTGTTTTTTTTTTTTTTTGTTCTCTGAAGCTGATTTTAATGAATAGCTGCAGTTTGTTGTTGTAGGGCCATGTTAGATAGTTAAAGTCGATCTTTGAGACGGTAAGCAACATCCACAGATTAACCCGCTAACTCTTCAGCTTGTTTGCCATTTTCTCCTCTCTTTTTGCTTCGCTTGTCACTGATAAGGTTTCATCTTATTTTCCAGCGTGTGTGTGTGGGAGCAGCTCTTCATAAAGGCCGACTCGCTCAGAGATTCTCTCCCACACTCCTCATCTCCGCTCTGTTTTTCTTTCTCTTTTTTTGTTTCTCTATTCTTTCAGCTCCACACTTGGCATTCCTTGGCTCTCATTCGCACTACGCCACTCTGGCTGGCACCCGACCATACATCAGTGAATATCTTGGTTTAAGTTCTTCCCTCCTTTTTATCCCTTTGGTTTGTTTCCTTCTTTACAGCTCAGATGTGCAGTTTGGTGGTTGAACCATGTAGGCTCGCTATTACTGCTTGCCTATGTTATTTTTTAATCTTTCTGGAGTGATGCCCTGCCGTTACTGAGCTGTAAACCTTTAACCACAGCTGATTGCTCTCTGGCTGAGCTCTCTACTGGCTGCTTTCATCCTACTTTACTCTACATTAGTAAACTAGTGAGTCCCATTAGACATAATTCAGGAAGAAAACCCCAACAAGTATCCCAAATCCATCTTTTCACCAGTGGCTTATATTTGTATCCAGATAATTTTTGCTGTTTTGTTCTGACTCCTCCATCCCTGCTTTGGGGATTATTTTTGTTGGGTTTGTTAAGGGCTGGACAATAAATCAATAACAATATATATTGCAATAGATATATGATCGATATCAGTAATTAATACATCTGATAGGATGTTCATAATATAGAGTATTCACTGAACTCCTTATAGCTAGTTAGGAGACAACTAACTCATTCACTCTTTGGTTGCCTAGCAACTCACACATTCTTTGGTTACCTAGCAACAATTTGTTGAGTAACTTGCAGCAGCATCAGTTGCCTCATGACTGCTTAAAAATAAGCTGAATAATAACGGTGTGAATTGAAAACTGGATAAAACCACAAAGTTTTATCACAATAACAAATTTAGCTGGACAATAATTGTCACAGAAGTTATTGCGACAAACGATAATATTGAATTTTTGAGAGAATTTTAAAGAAATATAATGCTTATGTTGAGGAAGTCAGCAGAATGTCTTCCAACAGAAAAACGAATGAATGACAACAGTTTGTCTTCTCTCTCCCCTTCAAAATAAGAGCCTAAATTCTGGTGTGAAATGTATACATTTGTGTCCGCCACGATGGCAAAAATAATCTCAAAGGTCATAAAACTTTAAATTCTAATGAACATTTAATACTGGAACGGAAAGACGTTTTAAATATGTCCAAGCATCCTAAATCCAAAATAAATTAATAAAACAACATAAACAACAAATAACATTAAATATGAATTATCTGTAAACCAGTGCGCCAGACTGAAGACTTTTATCATCCAATTTTTTGGTAGAAAGTAAGAAAAGAAGAAAAACGATAAATAATACAAATGGAAATGATCATGCACTTAATTGATTTATTGCCGGAAAAGTGATGCCATCATTTTGGTAGTATTTCAGATACTGAAAAGAAAAAACTAATCAGTAATTATCAATATTGACCGATTGTGATACTTTTTCAGCCATAGCGTCCAGCCCTAGGTTTGTTTGATTCGTTGACTTCATCACCTCATGTGTCTTATGTGTCACTCCTCCAGCTCCTCCCCCATCCGGCCCTTCCTCCACACTCACACCAGGAGGTAGCTCCACCCTGTCCAAGAAGAGACCTCCGCCCCCGCCTCCTGGACACAAACGCACCCTGTCTGACCCACCCAGCCCGCTCTCTCACAGTCCGCACAGTAAAGGGGGCGCAGTAACCGGGGGTGAGACCGCAAAGCACACAAGAAACAGCAGCTAGCCGGCTCGACTCGCGGTCTCCGCTCCAGATATCAGATGGAAATAAAGAGCTGTTGTTTGAGATTAGGAGCCAGTATTAGAAACACAAAGTCATTTTCTCCATCAGACTTCTAAAGAATTTCCTGTTGGTGAAGCTTCAACCATATTTAGACGGTTTGTTAGCCTCTTCCTGTCGTGAAGTAAGAGTTTCTATACAGGATGGAGACGTACACAAGACGTTCCATCCATCCATCCATCCATCCATCCATCCACCCATCCATCCTTTCTGTGCTAGCAGTAAAGTTCAGCTTTACTACTAGCATAGTAAGCTACTTGCAGGTATTTAAATCGCAAAAGTTGTTTAATTTACGTTCAAACCCATAAAAAGTTGACTTTTTATATTGTTGGGCTTGTAATTATTCATCTCCGACTGTTTTCCTCCTTCCTGTCACACACACAGGCACGCACACACACACACACACACACGCACGCGCACGCGCGCACACACACACACACACACACACACACACACACGTCACCACCCGTCCACAGAGTAAATAGCAGCAGTTCAGATGACACACTCATCATGGAGAGCTCAGCCAGAAGACGCCCTCCCCTCATTGTTTTCTTTAACCATCACAGCATGTTGATTTGTTTCCACATTTATACCAAATTAATTAATTCCTCCGGCCGAGCTCTGATGTGGCGTTCAGTTTTTCCTCTGTTGTTGTCGCCAATGTTAATATTTCAGGAAGCGACTCCACCCCTCCGCCGGTCAGTAAGATGTCCCCCGTGTCCAACAAGTTTGAAGGCATTCCTCAGCAGCAAAGGTAACGCAGAAACAGACTCACATCTGTTGTCGCTTTTTAATCATTAAAGGTTTTCTTTGTAAAAACAAGATGATTTTCTTATGTCTGAAATTTAACATTTCTTCAGCACTACTTCAAGCAACACAAAGTCGACACTTGGTCCAAGGGTTCTTCCCAAACTACCTCAGAAAGGTGCAACATTTATCGCTCCGTTCAGGGTTCAGGCAGGAAAAATCCTGTTTCCTTCCCTGGTGTTTTCCTTCCTTCACATCTTCATTCTTTCCTTTTATCCTTGTTCCCTTACTTCATTTATTATCTTTCCTTCCTGGCTCCCTTCCTCATGTCCCTTTTTCTTTTCTTCTTCTCCTAAGAAGGAGTAAGAGAAATACTTGTCTGAGCTTTTCCCTATTTCCTTTTATCTTTGTGTCCTACCTCCCTTATTCTGTTGCTTCCTTCCTTGTTCCCTAAGTCTCATCTTTCTTTCCTTTTGTTGTGCCCATTTTCTCTTTTCTTATGTCCTTTTTC